CGCATGCGTCCCGCACACCCATTTCGGCACACCCCTCACACGTTTCGTGGCCCCACAGGGAGCTCCACCGAAGGCCCCATGCTGCCGTCCGCATGCGTCCCGCACACCCATTTCGGCACACCCCTCACACGTTTCGTGGCCCCACAGGGAGCTCCACCGAAGGCCCCAGTGCTGCCGTCCGCATGCGTCCCGCACACCCATTTCGGCACACCCCTCACACGTTTCGTGGCCCCATAGGGAGCTCCACCGAAGGCCCCATGGCTGCCGTCCGCATGCGTCCCGCACACCCATTTCGGCACACCCCTCACACGTTTCGTGGCCCCACAGGGAGCTCCACCGAAGGCCCCAGTGCTGCCGTCCGCATGCGTCCCGCACACCCATTTCGGCACACCCCTCACACGTTTCGTGGCCCCATAGGGAGCTCCACCGAAGGCCCCATGGCTGCCGTCCGCATGCGTCCCGCACACCCATTTCGGCACACCCCTCACACGTTTCGTGGCCCCACAGGGAGCTCCACCGAAGGCCCCAGTGCTGCCGTCCGCATGCGTCCCGCACACCCATTTCGGCACACCCCTCACACGTTTCGTGGCCCCACAGGGAGCTCCACCGAAGGCCCCAGTGCTGCCGTCCGCATGCGTCCCGCACACCCATTTCGGCACACCCCTCACACGTTTCGTGGCCCCATAGGGAGCTCCACCGAAGGCCCCATGGCTGCCGTCCGCATGCGTCCCGCACACCCATTTCGGCACACCCCTCACACGTTTCGTGGCCCCACAGGGAGCTCCACCGAAGGCCCCAGTGCTGCCGTCCGCATGCGTCCCGCACACCAGGTGTGTGGCGTGCCGACATGGGCGTCGCGGCGCGCGGGCGCTGCCGTCGGGGTTCCCAGGGAAGCCCCCTGCAGAGGCGACGCTCAGAGTCACGAGTACCGAGAGTCACGCAGACCCAAACTGTTCACAGTCGTATACATACATTTACACTGGGCGTATCCATGCACGCATTCATGCGAATAGAATCAATCGCGCGCAGATTCATTCATAATCAGACTCGCTCGCGATCCGACTCGCACGCGCTCAAGCTTTCATATTCGGACCTATCGTCTTCGTTCGTGTTGTGTACACTGCCACGCATTTCGGCACACCCCTCATACGGCTCGTGGCCCCATAGGGAGCGCCACCGAAGAAGATATTCACAATTGCGGTACTCTCAACTGCATATGGTTGGGTCCTTCGCCAGGCTAATTTTCTCGAAAGCCGTTCGAAAACCTCAGGCTTTGCGACATGATCGACCCACGAACCCAGAAAGGAATATAGAAATGTAAGGCATGGCAACGTTTCAAAGACACCTGATTGGGCGACGGGCAAATAATGCAATGCTGAATGTATCGATTTTGATGTACCGTGCCGAGGGCCGTGCTGTGCTGCGCCGTGCTGATGCTGAACTGCGATGTGCCATGCCGCGAATGTGCTCTATAGCGTTGTGGATCGAGTCCTCATTTGCACCCGACTCCTGTCCGAACTGATCCGGATGTTAAGCTCGAGCTGCCTCAGCACATAGTAGTTGCCCCAGAGCTAATTGACAAGGGAACATGCCAGGAGGACGCGCCGCGGAACGTTTCAAGGGACGCGCCAGGCGACGTGCCAAGGGACGTGCCACGAAGACGCACCGCGGGACGTGCCGAGGGGACGCGCTACGGAACGTGCCAATGGACGTGCCAATGGACGTGCCAGGAAACGCGCCGCGCGACGTGCCAGGGGTCACAGGACGCGCCACGGAACGTGCCAAGTTGCAACGCTGAGTGTATCGATATTGATGTACCGTGCCGAGGCCTGTGGCGTGCTGCGCTGTGCTGAACTGCGATGTGCCATGCCGCGATTGTGCTCTTTAGCGTTTTGGATCGAGTCCTCCTTTGCACCCGAGTCCTGACCTAACTGATATGGATCTTAAGCTCGAGCTGCTTCAGCACATAGTAGCTGCCCCAGAGCTAATGGACAGGCGGGCATGCCTGGAGGACGCGCCACGGAACGTCCCAAGGGACGCGCCAGGCGACGTGCCAGGAGACGTGCCACGGGAGCGCACCGCGGGACGTGCCGAGGGGACGCGCTACGGAACGTGCCAATGGACGTGCACCGCGCGACGTGCCAGGGGGACTCGCCACGGGACGCTCCGCGCGGAACGTGCCAGGCAACATGCCAGACTGCAATGCTAGGGGTATCGATATTGATGTACCGTGCCGAGGGCTGTGCTGTGCCTGGGCGACCTGGACGCGTGAAAACACGCGTTTCGCTCAAGACGTTCTCAGCACATCCTCATGCTAGACATCCGCCTGGGCAACCTGGACACGTGCAAACAAGCGTCTCGATCGAGACTTTCTCGACACATCCTAATGCTAGACATCCGCCTGGGCGACCTGGACACGTGAAAACGAGCCTCTGGTTCGAGACATCCTCAACAAACCCTCATGCTAGACATCTGTCTGGGCAACCTGGAGGCGTGAAACCAAGCGTCTCGCTCGAGATATCCTCAAGACCTGGGCACGTGAAAGCAAGCATTTCGCTTGAGAGATCATGTTAATTCGCCGGCCCTCTTTCCACTCGCTATTTATCGCAAAAGAATTCCGCCGGCCCTCTTCCCGTCAAAACCGGGGGTGAACAAACTAAAAGAGAACCTTGGGCCTGAAGCCCTTTCCGGGAAAAGACTCGGGCGTTCCAGACGATGGCGATGACGATGGCGATTGCGCTGCAACGGACCGTCATCCCAGCTATAGTTGCACGCCTGCTAATTCCCCTTCCTTCCTGTATCCCTCATCCTTCATCCCTTGCCTTCCTTATCCTCGTCATTATCACCCTCGCTCCTCCCTAGTATTCGCTGCTCCTGCAAATCAGGCACGTGGCGTCTCTAACTCACTTTCAGCACCTGGGTCAGCACGGCCTTCATGACAGTGATAGTCATTGCGTTTCCAATCATACCACCCTGCTGGGTCCGTGACATCATGCTGAAATCGTAAAGGTCGGGGTTGCAACCTTGAAGGCGGCTCAGCGTCTTGACGCTCAGATATTTCATCGTTTTCAGGTTGATGTAAGAGTGTGCGTTGGCGCCCCGGGATTTCGTGATACAGGGGCGCATGCCTGCTCTCCACACTGGCTTCCTGCCGTTTTGCGTAGCAACAATCACGTTGGCCTTCGCCGGATCGACGCTGGTGCACTTGTGAGCGACCAGCATCCAAGAACGTGCTGATGGGAGGCATTTTGATAGGCTTGGGCCATTCGAAGAGACCCCTGTTGATGTCAGCACGAATCCCACCAGCCCTCTGGACGTAGGTGGTTTAGAAAGTTTCTTCTTCCACCCCCCCCCCTTCTTCCCCTTCAGGGAGGGGTTTACCCCTCCCCCTAACCCCCTCCCCTGGACCTGGACGGGGCGTTTCGCGAGCGGTCAGGGGGTACTTTTTCTCCCAATATGGCTCCAAGAGCGCTTCGGAAAGCTTAAGATGACCTCCAGTATTGACTAAGATAGCCTAAGATACCTCAAGATGGCTCCGAAGATGCCCCAAGAGGCTCCAAGACCGCCCCAAGACGGCTCAAAGGCCAGATAGCTTTCCAAGGAGGCCTCCAAGAGGCAACAGTTTGAAAACCTAAGGAAAGCCAATGTTTTTTGCTTTCTCGCCGTTTCGCTTCCAATGGCCACCCGAGGCCTCAAGATGGCTCCAGAATGGCCCAAGAAAGCCCCAAGAGGGGCGCAAGGGAGTCCCAAGAGCGCCCAAGAGCGCTCCAAGAGCGCTGCAATAGTGGTCCAAGAGGCGATTTCAGAGGCTCCCGAGAGGCGGTGCTAATTACCCCCCCTTTTTTTGATCGATCTCCTCCAAGATGGCCCCAAGAGCGCCCCCAAGGCTCTCAAGAGCTCCTCATGAGGGCCCCAAGAGGCGCCCAGGAGGCCCCAAGAGACGCCCAACAAACTTGCACGAACTCCCAAGAGACGCCCACACGGCCCCAAGAGGCCCCCCCTGAGGCACGGAACAGGCTCCCGGGATCGCCAAGACGCCCCCAAGACGGCCCAAGAGGCCCCCAGACTCAAAATTGTTTCCCTCCTCCTCATCCTTCTCCTCCTCATCGTCTTACTCCTCCATCTTCCCTCCATTCCCTCCCCCACCTTATCCTCCTCCTTCTCCTCTTCCTCCACTTTATCATCATCCTTATCTTCTTCCACCTCCTTCTCTTCCCCTTCCTCCTCCTCCTCATCATCATCCCCGTCTCCGCCTCCCCTTCCTCCTCCTCCTCTTCCTCCTCCTCCTCCTCATCATCATCAGTTGGAACTTCGGTGGAGCTCCCGAGTGGGCCACGAAGCGCTGCACTGGGTGGTGCGTGACGCATGCGGGCGGTCCCACTGGCCGTCAGTGGAGCTCCCTATGGCCTATGGGGCCACGGAGCGTTGTACTTGGTTACTTGGTGGTGCGTGACGCATGCGGGCGGTCCCATCGGGGCCCTCGGTGGAAGTACCTATGGGGTCACGAAGCGCTGTATTGGGTTGTGCGTGACGCATGCGGGCGGTCCCACTGGGACCTTTGGTGGAGCTCCCTATGGCGCTATGGGGCCACGAAGCGCTATACTCTCGGCATGCCCGTTGGCATGGTCACAGCATGGTCTTGAGTCTTGAGTCTTGAGTCCTCTCGGCTCTCGGGTGTCTTGTCGTCTTGTCGCATCAATCCCGTCTGGCCCTTTCGCAGATTCCAGCTCCTCCGCAGCCATTTGGGCTTAGACGCTGCCAGGCATCACCTGGCCAGATCGTCACACACAATCTACGGTGCGTTTTCTCTGCCCCAGCAAACGGAGCAAGTGATCCACATGGACATGGGTGGAGGGTCAAGCAGCGATGATAACCCAGCAAAAGTCGCACAGCCAGCTCTGGCATAACCTGTTCGTGTTCCTTACTTATTACAAGGTTGGGTGGCGTCAGACACCCACACGGGTGTGCTCGAGGCGCACGGAGCAGCTCGCTTGCGAGCGATGGGCGTAGAAATCAAGCAGCTCGACCTCTTCGAAATGCATCGGGAGGACTGGCTCACCCAGGTGCCGAGCCTCATCTTCATGTCCAACCTTTGCCCTCCGACGAGCCATAGGGACTACTTGTAGTGGCTTTTGAAGAAATACTTGCAGTGGAACCCGAACGCAGGAGAGCGGAGGGCTTACTACGAGGTCATGGCTTTCGAGTCGGTCTGCGCACAATGTCCATTTGCGTCTGTTGTGAGCATCATGCGGTTGAGCGAATTTCGCCATGGCGGGGCCGCTCCCGTCGTCGAGGCCACGATGGGGCACGTGCCTGGCTACGTTCCCAAGGCATGCAACCATGATGCGGGAGACGACCTGGTGCCTCTGCAAGGGTGCCGGAACAACAAAGTGCGCGTGAAGCTCGACGGCCCCCTCAGGCCGAGCGATTTCATCTCGGCGAACGGCGACGGCTCCATCAACGTAGTTGCGATGCGTGCTGCTGCCTATGCGAATGGAATGCAGGTGGTGTTCCTTGGCGAGTGGGACGGGACATTGTCCCTCGGGTGTGCGGTTGGAGTCATGTACCACCAGACAATGGATCATGAAGTGTGTCGCGGAATGGTCTTGCACACGGCACGTTCCAAAGCGTCCCATGAACAACCAGCGCCCTTCCACATACAAGGAGTCCTACGAGTACGCGGTGAAGTACCGCGCGCTGCAGATCGTCGATGAAGCGACGCGCATGAATGCTCCTTGGCCGCAGGTCTGGGCGGACAAACTCCATCCACATGTTCAATTCAATGCGGCGTGCATGTGGCATTGGGCGCAGGTCTGCGCCGACGCTGATGTCCTGCCGCAGATGGTTTTCAGCACAGCTCAGAGTTCCATGGGGGCAGGCCGTCCTTCACCCGCTGATGTTCTTAGCATTTTGTATGTTCATTGGCAGCGCTCAGTGCATTATGATGCTCGTCTTTGGTCTCCAGCCCGACTAGACTCCATGGTGGATTCGTCAACTGCTTCTCCCAGCACGGTGTATGCTCAGTGGCGGCGTCGAGATTGTCTGGTGTTCTCTCAGTGCGAATGGACACAACGGTGGTTTCGTCAACTACTGCTCGTGCGTGTTCCTTGTTCCTTGTTCAGTGGCGGTGTCAAGAAGATGGCGACTCGTTCTCGGATTGCCCCAGTGCCCAGTGCGCATCGCCACCAGTGTAGGTGCACGACGTTTTGTATAAGCAAATAATGAAACAGTGCGGGCCTTGCGTGCTTAGAGCCTAGTGCAGCGTGTGGCTTCTCAGTGCATGGTTTCGCAGTGCTTGCCGTCTGTGGAGTCGGTCTGCTTGCGACTTGTGTAAGTGAAGCTCGGTGAAAGGGTATTGTGATCAACAGTTGCGTCTCATCGTGCGACGCTGACCAATGCTGCCAATCCATGCCATGACCTGCAACCCATGCCATTCGCTTTGCAATGCTATGCCATGCCCGCAATGCGACATTGCGGTATGTTGTGGCTGCCGTGTTACGCCCGATATGATATGCTATAAAAAGGATTATGGAAACGTTGCATGCTGCACTATGCTACGCAATGCAATGTTTTGCAAACGTGCTGCGAAAGTTTGCGCGGTACGTTGCTATGCCATGTATCAACTTGTCACTTGTCATGGACTACTACGAAATGCGTATGAATAGTACACCACAATGGAACATCGTGCACCGCGTGGAAGCATAGCTTATTTGACCGAGTTTGCTCATGTCGGTTCATTGCACTGCACTGCGCAATCGGGCAAGCCATTGTATGATGTATGGTAGATCATATCATAGCACGGCGCATCGTATAACATCGAATCATATAATATATCATCACGTTTGTATACCATCGCACAACATCGCATAGCACGCAGCCTTTCCACAACCATTGCATACCATAGGATGGCGTTGCATACCACTGCTGTTATGCACCTTGTAGTTTAATGGCAGTAGTTGCATTGCGTTGCATCTCATTGCATGTAGCACAGCATGGCATGTTGCGCGTCTAGAGTGAACCTGCCTTGCGTCGCAACGCATAGCATACCATGGTGTGCATGCACATGCTTTGCTATGATGTAATAAACGGTGCTATGCTATGCAATGCTATGCCGCGATGTTCCCTGCAGCGTTGTAATGCAATGCTATGATATGCTACGCTATGCGGTGATGTACCATGCTACGCAATACAATAGTACGCCGTACAGGAGGAGGAGAGGGAGGAATAGGAGGAGTAGGAGGAGGAGGGGGAGGAGGAGGAGGAGGAGGAGGAGGAGGAGGAGGAGGAGGAGGAGGAGGAGGAGGAGGAGGAGGAGGAGGAGGAGGAGGAGGAGGAGGAGGAGGAGGAGGAGGAGGAGGAGGAGGAGGAGGAGGAGGAGGAGGAGGAGGAGGAGGAGGAGGAGGAGGAGGAGGAGGAGGAGGAGGAGGAGGAGGAGGAGGAGGAGGAGGAGGAGGAGGAGGAGGAGGAGGAGGAGGAGGAGGACGAGGAGGGAAAGGAGGGGGAGGAGGAGGAAGTGGAGGAGGGATGGGGATGTCCAAATTGGGATGTCCACCGAAGTTCCAACTGGGCTGTCCAAATTGTCTGGGCGCCGTGGCCGGGTGCCAAAAGGGCCCGGGCCGTCTCCGGACAAACCGGGGGCCGTGGGAGCCCCGAGAGGGCCAGAGGGCCCAGGCCGTCACCGGACAAACTGGACATGGATGTCCAAATGTCCGGGCGCCGTGGGCGCCCCAAGAAGGCGCAGCCTTTTCCCTCTCCTCCTCCTCCTCCATCCGCTCTCCTCCCCCTCTCCTCCGCTCTTCCTCATTTCCTCCTCCTCCTCCTCGTCATCCTCCCCCTCCTCGTCTTCATTCTCCTCCTCCCTCCTCATCCCTCCTCCCTCCTCCCGCTCCCCTTCCTCCTCCTTCAGTTTCTCATCCTCCTCATCCTCATCCGATTCCTCCTCCATCCTCGCCGTCTTGGATAAGACAGGTTTCCCAGCCCTTGGTTACCCTCACTTCCCTGATCACCTCCATTCGCGCGGGCATTCGCTGGTCGAGAACCAGCAACACCAGCAGCAACAGCAGCAGAAGCAGTACCAGCAGGAGCAAGAGCACCAGCAACAAAACATGCAACCTCCACCACAAAAGATCTCCCATTTCACCGTTGTCGCCCGCTCGGTTTCACTATGTGTTCCTCTCTTCCCTTCTTCCGTCAGTTCCTCTACGCATCGTTTGTGGATGGGTTGGTGGGGATACGCGTAGCGTCTAGAATTGCAACGATCCACACGCGCTCACGAAACTGTGCGACCCCGTAGTCTTTCGATTTAAGGACTCCCCAATCAGCAAAATACCCAGCACGTGACAAACTGACCAGAATCCTGTTGAGAACTGCAAGGTTTTTCTTTTGTGATATCCCCTACACATTCTCCAACATGACGGCCCTGGGCTGCCTTGCGTGCACTTATGCTAGAATAGGCCCAAGAACATCAGCGCGACGATCTGCAGTCCCTTGGCGCTTGCCCTTTCCTCTGGCTAGTGCAGGTGTCACGGGCAGCGCCGCCGTCCCTGAAAGTGAATCCGGATAATCCGGAACGACGCAAGAGATAAGGGGGGCTGCTAGGGGGGCTCTCCCTGGACGCGAGAGATGAGGCTGCTGGGGGGTTCTCCACCCGGGCTCTCGGGTGGATTGTATCGCCGAGGGCCTCCTCTCTCGTCGAGGCCCTCGGCGAGGGGGGTTCTCCCCCGGGCTCCCCGAGGGCCTCCTCTCTCGTCGAGGCCCTCGGGCTCTCAAGATGGCTCAGTTGCTGCAAAATGCTTGTCATCGTTTCGTTTGGGTGCCATTGTCCTTGGAGGGGCTCGGCAACGATATTTCGTCGTCCGCTGTGAACGCGCATAGAGCGCACCCACTCATAACGTGATCCTGATGTCGTTGCATTTGCTAGTGCGTGCGAATTCTGTTCACGTCAGTAGTTAATGGTTGCCCTCCGGGGCGCATTTCTAGGGTCGGCTGGCCTGCCGAGGTCCCGCCGATGGCGCCTACGCCCTCGCAGCAGACGGCTCTATGGGCCTCGGATCGTCTGGGAGGAGTTGGAAGGGACGTCGTTGATTCTCTACCCTACCCTTTGCTATCCCCCCCCTTTCGTTCCCCCCGATTGGAGCCCCCGACACGCCGAGACCCGGGGCCGCCCTCGGGGCGCGAGGGCACCCTCGCAGCCGAGAGCTGCCCCTCCCCGGGGGTCGGCGAGAGAGCGCGAAGACGCCTCCTCCGCGCGTGCGCGGGGAGCGAAGCGCGGCAGCGGCAGCGGCAGCGGCAGCGGCAGCGGCAGCGAAGACGGCCGCGTTGCGCGCCCTGCCGCGCGAGGGAGCGAGGGCGCGGGTGGCGCGGAGCGCGGGGAGCGAAGCGAGAGGTTGGGCGGCCTGGCCATCGGAGCGCGCGGCTCTCCGATACCCCGAGCTGATGAGCCCGAGGAGCCAGAGGTGAAGCAGAAGCCGCCCCCCGCGGCGGAGGATGCCGCGAGGGGGCCGCCGCCCATGGGGGCGATTCCAGAGCCGCCGCCACTGGCGAAGGACGACCGGAGCCTCGAGTTCCACGTCGAGGTTCGCGCTGGCATAAACTCTCGACGCCGGCGGCGATCGGAGGGACGAAGGCGGGGAGCACGAGGATGTTGGCCCCCTTCGGGGCCCCAGACCTGCTTGGCATGGGGACGGAAAGCGCGTTCACTTTGTGAGGGCACTAGGTCGCTGGCTTAGTGTCTTGGAGCCTCGTTGGTGTTAACGATTCGGTGCGACATACAAAAATCTAGCAACCAACCTTGCGAAAATATATTGATTTTGTATTTCCGGGCCTTCCTGGGGGTCCTTTTGGGGCTTTTTTGGGCCGTCTGGGAGCCCTTTTGCGCCGTCCCGGGACCCTCTTGGGCCGTCTTGGCGGGCTTGGGCCGTCTCGGGACCCTCTGGGAGCCCTCCTGGGTCCCCTTGGGGACCTCCTGTGGCCCTCTTGGGGCTCTCTTGGGAACCTTTTGGGACCCTCAGGGGCCTCTCTTGGGCCGTCTTGGGGCTCTCTTTGGCCGTCTTGACGCCCACTTGGGCCGTCTTGGGCCCCTGTGAGCCCGTCTTGGGGCGGTCTTGGGGGCCTCCTGAGGCGTTTTGAACCCTGTGAAGACCAAAGAAGCGGATATGCTAAAAATGCACGCTTTCTTTTTGCCTCTTGGGGTTTCACTTTGGGGACCTCATGGGGCGTCTTGGAGGCCCCTGGGCTGTCTTGAAGCCACATTGGGCCCTCTTGGAGCGCTCTTGGGCCGTCTTCGCGCCCTCTTGGACCTCTCCGACGCCGTCTTGGAGGTATCTTGGACGCTTTGGGGGCTGTCTCGGGCCGTATTGTGCCGAAAATTGCCGAAACTTGGGGCGATTAGACTTGCTCGGCACGGGAACGGAAAGCGCATTTACTTTCAGAGCGCGAGATGTCGCTGGCTTGCCCGTTATTTCTCTCTGTCTCCCCGTCTGGAGGCTCTCTTGGGGCATCTTGGTGGCGTAGTGGGCGCCCTCTTGGGCTATCTAGAAGCCGCAGGAGGCCTCTTAAGGGGGAACTAGGGCGTGTTGGTATCTTGGGAATGCACTAGAGCGCGATAAAACACGACCTCTCCCAGGCCCTACTTGGGCCGTCGCGTGGCTCTCTTAGGCCGTCTTGGGGCCCCTTTGGGCCGTCCTCAGGCTCTCTTGGGAGCCCCTCGGGCCGTCATGGCACAATCTCGGAGGGCCCTGGAGCTGTATCGGGCCGTTCTTGCCCGAAAAACGAGAGGCTGGAAAACCTTACAAACCTAAAGACGACAATGGTTTTTGCGTCGTCCGGCACTTTTGGGGGTCCTCTCGGGGGCCGCTTGGGATGTCTTGGAGGCTTCCTGGGCTGTACTGAGGGCATCTTGGGCTATCTTGGATCGCTCTTGGGTGGTCCTCGGGCCCGTCTGGGCCTCTCTTACGCCGTCTGGTACCTTCAGCTGGCGAGGAGCTTACGCGCTTACGCGGAGCTCACGCACCCGTTAACAGGGAATTATGTTTTAACAGGCACTTGACCCCGCTCAGGTACCCGTTAACAGGGAATCAACATGAAATTGCATGCAAACGAGGCCCAGAAACTTGCGCGAGAGGGCTCACGGCACCCTTCGCTCTTGGAAGCCTTGGTGGTAAGAGCTTGTTATGTCACCACTCGTTCTTGGGAGCCTTGGTGTTCAGAGACTTTTACGTTGCCGTTCGCTCCTGGGAGCCTTGGCGTTGAGATTGGTTTACGTCACCGTGCTCTGGGGAGCCTTGGTGTTCAGAGCTTGTTGCGTCACCCCTCGCTGTGGGGAACCATGGTGTTTCTTAGCGTCTCTGGGGTGTCTTGGGAACCTATTGAGGGGGTCGAGAATTCAACCCGTGAGTTCGTTCCAAACCCGGAATTCTTTGAGTCGAAACCTGGTTCGCGGCCTGGTTCGCGAAACCCGAAGTCCAATTGAAGCCCGGAATTCTTTTCCAAGCCCGGAAATCTGGTTGGGAGCGAAACCCGGAATTCTTGCAGGCGCGGAGTTCTGGAATTTTTTCGAATGGAAGGTGGGATGAGTGAGAGAGAGAAATTGGTAACGGACCCGAAGCACGATGGTGTGAACAAATTGGGGCGGCTTGCGTCGTTGTCGTCGTCGTCGATGGTCGTTTGTTTTCCGTGGGATGCGACCCGTCGATTGTCGACGTTGCGTTTGTTGTTGTGGTTGTCGGTTGTTCGCGTTGTCGTATTCGTCGTCGACGTCGCTACCGCCGTCGTCGCGTCATCAGCTGTATTCGCGGACGGGCGCGTCTGCCCTAAAATTGAAATATCGGAGCGGTTTTGGTTGTCAGCCCGAGGTCGGATTGGGGTTGTCGTCGATGTTCGTTTGCCTTCTCTTGGTCGCCAGTCGTCGGTTGTTCTTGTTGTCTGCGTTGTCGTTGTTGTTGTTGTATTTTCCGTCCTTGTCGTCGTCGTCGTTTCTGTCGTTGTCAGCGCTCTACTCGCAGACGGGCGCGTTCACCGTGGATGTGAAATCATGGATTGGCTTTTGCAATGAACTCGAGGCGCGAGGGTTGGAACTAATTGGGGCGGCTTGCGTCGTTGTCGTCGTCGTCGGGGATGTTGCTTGTTATTCGGGGGTCGCGAGCTGTCGGTTGCCGTCGGCGCCTTCGTTGTTGTCGTTGTCGGTTGTTCGCGTTGTCCTCGTCGTCGTCGACGTCGCCGTCGCCGTCGTCGCGTCGTCTGTTGTTTTTGCGGACGGGCGCGTCTGCTTTGAATTTGAAATATCAGGGTGGTTTTGGTTTTCAACCCGAGGCATGGGGATGGCAAAATTAGGGCGGCTTTCGTTGTTGTTGGCGTGCATGGTCGTTCGGTTTTCGTCGGTCGCCAGTCGTCGGTTGTTGTTGTCGCCGTCGTTGTCGTTGTGGTTGCTGTCGTCGTCGTCCTTGTCGCCGTCGTCGTCGTCGTCGCTGACGTGGTCGTCGCTGCGGGCGTCAGCGTCCGCGCGGGGGGACGTGCTCGTCTGCTTTAATAATGAAGTCGTGGAGTGGTTTTGTTCAGTGTCCGGTTGCATGGCGATGTTCAAATTAGGGGGGCTTGCGACGTCGTCGCACCTCGTCACATGTCGTTCGTCCTTTTGTTGGCGTTGGTTGTCGGGCGTCGTTGTCGCCGTCGTTGTCGTTGTTTTTGTTGGTTCTCGATGTCCTTGTCATCGTCGTCCTCGCCCTCGTCGCTATCGTCGTCGTCGCCGCTTTCGGCGTCCGTGCTTGCTGGCGGGCGCGTCTGTTTGAACATGATGTTTGGGCGCGGTTTTGACAGTCAAGGTGAGCTATGGGAGACGTTCAAATTTGGGCGCTTCGCATTGTCGTCGTCGCGGCAAGAGTACGTCGGCTTGCGAAGTCCAGGAGTGGGTTTGAAAGTGTTTTGGCGCGTGGTCACGCGAATGGATGCGAGGAGGACACGAAAGTGGGAGCGGCGTTGGGAGGGGGGGGGGGAGGAAGAGAAGGATTGCGGGAGGTGGCGACGAGGAATTGGAGGAGTGGGAGGCGGAGAAGGAAAAGGAGGGGGAGGAGGCGGCGTCGGAGAAGGAGGAGGAAGAGGAGGAGGAGGAGGAGGGGGAGGAGGAGGACTACGAGCTCGCGGATCAGGATCGCGGAGGAGAGGACGACGAGGATGGGGTCGATCTGGAAACAATACCACGGCGAATCTATAAATGGCCTCCATCGCGAGAGAAAGGCGGTTTCAAGTCGGCGTGTTTGCCGGCGTTTTAATTGGCGAGCGGGCGCGCTTGCCCGAACATTGAAATCTCGAGTGTTTTTGGTTTCCAGCTAGAGGCGTGGCGATGTCCAAATTAGGTCGGATTGCGTCGGGGTTGTCGTCGATGGTATTTGCCCTCATTTGGTCTTGAGTCGCTGGTTCTTGTTGCTGTTGTATGCGTTGTTGTTATTGTTGTTGTTCTTGTTGTTGTTGCTTTTGTTGTTTTTGTTGTTTTTGTTTTTGTCGTTGTCGTTGTAGCCGTCGTCCTTGTCGTCGTCGTCGTCGTCTCTGTCGTTGTCGGCGCCCTACTCGCGGACGGTCGCGTTCACTGTGGATTTGAAATCATGGATTGTTTCTGGTAGTGGACCCGAAGCACGATGGTGTGAACAAATTTGGGCGGCTTGCGTCGTTGTCGTCGTTGTTGTCATGGTCGTCTGTTTTCCGTGGGCCGCGACCCGTTGGTTGTCGACGTTGCGTTTGTCGTTGCGGTTGTCGGTTGTTCGCGTTGTCTTATTCGTCGTCGACGTCGCTACCGCTATCGTCGCGTCATCAGCTGCATTTGCGGACGGGCGCGTCTGCCTTGAAATTGAAATATCGGAGCGGTTTGGGTTGTCAGCCCGAGGCACGGCGATGGCAAAATTAGGTCGGATTGTGTCGGGGTTGTCGTCGATGTTAGCTTGCCTTCTCTTGGTCGCCAGTCGTCGGTTGTTCTCGTTGTCTGCGCTGTCGTCGTTGTTGTTGTTGTTGTTGTTGTTGTTGTTGTTGTTGTTGTATCCTCCGTCTCGCGGACGGGCGCGTTCACCGTGGATGCGAAATCATGGATTGGATTTTACAATGAACTCGAAGCGCGAGGGCTGGAACTAATTGGGGCGGCTTGCGTCGTTGTCGCCGTCGTCGGGGATGATGTTTGTTATTTGGGGGTCGCGAGCCGTCGGTTGCCGTCGGCGCCTTCGTTGTTGTCGTTGTCGGTTGTTCGCATCGCCCTCGTCGTCGTCGACGTCGCCGTCGCCGCCAACGCGCCATCAGCTGTTTTTGCGGACGGGCGCGTCTGCTTCAAAATTGAGATCTCAGCGCGGCTTTGGTTTTCAACCCGAGGCATGGAGATGGCACAATTAGGGCGGCTTTTGCTGTCGTTGGTGTGCATGGTCGTTCAGTTTCGGTCGGTCGCCAGTCGACGGTTGTTGTTGTCGCCGTCATTGTCGTTGTCGCTGTCGTCGTCGTCGTCGTCGCGGTTTTCGTCGTCGGTCGCCAGTCGTCGGTCGTTGTTGTCGCCGTCGTTGTCTTTGTCGTTGTTGTCGTCGTTGTCCTTGTCGCCGTCGCCGTC